GTATGATGGCTGCTACATATAAATGCCCCTAGCCTTAGATATGGAGTCTAGCCTCAAGTATGGAGGCTAGCGGGCTGGATATGGAGCGCGTTTCATAACTTAGGCAGGCCGAGGGACGGATGATGACTTCGCTAGAGCAGCCTTTTTTGGGGAAAAACTTCCAATCTATTCATTTTTAACCATGGCAGTTAACGAACAGAAGAAATAATAAAAATAGCAGACCACCTAGCGACGACATAGTGCCTTTCTGACCAAAATTATCATACTAAATGTCATTATGTTGATCGATCGATATGGGGACCATGCTAGAGTTGCTCCTCCAATGAATAAAGTTGTCGTTACAAACGTCATTTTTGTTACAAACCACAAAAGCTGTTACTTCCTCAAAGGAAATAATTTTAATAAATAAAAAAATAATTTTAATAAAACAATATAATATTGTCCAAGAAGTAAGAAGGCCTGCTAAAGGTATCTTTCACACATATGGTGCCTATGCACTTGCCTGGCACACCCTGTCTAGGGTGCACTATGGGGTCTGCTCGCACAAGTGCGGGGTGTTATTTTTGCTTAGTACTAGGTACGTGCCCGTGCGTTGCCACGGGGCCAAATACTTTTTATCTCAATAAATTTGCTTCACCGGGTCATGCAAGGTAAATAAATTAATATGATTAAGCGATGTATGGGAAGGTGCCGTAAAATATGGCATTAAAGCAGCATGCTTGGAAGGTGCAGTCTGTATGGTGTGGTGAAAAAACCGACTAGATGATGAAAAATTGGTGAAGAGACACGGTGAGGGCGGAGGGGGGACCGGCTAACAAAGAGTTTTGCCTTATAGGAAAAGAAACGACTACTTATTTTTGAGCTCTTTTATAGTACCCTGCAATGAATATGAGCCGTCTATTCTTGGAATGGAAGGGAGGTGATCGATCTCTACTGCTCAACTGGGCCACTACCATCGCAAGCAGTACCGGTGACATTGGATGTTCCGTGTGCAGCACTATACTTGCTGTGAGGGTAATTTCGGGAGACAGAAAAATTAGCCGGCCTCCCGACCAAGAGAACCCGTTCGTTCTCTTCCCCTTTTCCGCTCCGCCGCATGCATGCACCTGCTGGCTAGGATTCCGGCGGCCGCCTCGTCGCCTTTACACTGTCGAACGTGTTCGTCGACCGCAGCACGCACTCACGGCCCACATCGTCTTCCTTGACGAGGCTTCCTCTCCCTCCCGCCATGCTGGTGGACCGAGCGCTCAGTGGTACGGCACAGTTGAACGAGCTCGTGGACCGAGCAACCTCGCTACCCCGTTGGGCGCCGACTAGGAAAATGAGACGTAGTGTTTCAGAAGCTACCAATCGACGGACTCCACCGATCAACCAAAATACAGCATCACCATCGACCAGGGGGTTGAGTGATTAATCACCATACCAAAGCCCGAGAAGGTGGGAGACGTTGCAATCTGTACTATATTTTTCTTTTGGGAAGTGGCATGTACTGTACCGACTAGGACATGGACAACTGAGGGCGATGCGTGTGCCCTTCTGGGAGGCGCGGCCAGAAGTGCGAGGAAGCGGCGGCTAGGTCGACGGGCGTCCAACGGTCCAGGTCAACCACTCGCGGAGGGTTGTGGCGGGAGCGCGTTGGGAAACAGGGATGCGGCGGTGAGTCCAACGACGGCGGAGCCGGTCGGCCACGTCAAGTTGGCGGCGGCGCGCGGGTAGAGCAATGGCCGACGGCTCAACCAGGGCGAACAGAACGGCCGATTTCTGATGGGCTGGCGTAACCTTGGAAAACGGGAAAATGACTAGAACTACCCTTGCGAAATCAACTGCGGATGATTGTATACTGCTACCTCCCATCTTTAGCAGTTTACCGTCCGGGATGGTCCTCTCTCGCCGACGTGCTATTGTCACCGCTCCCCTAACGAAGCCGGCTGGGCCTTATCGATGACAGCCGGAAAGTATTTGTGCACATGCCCCTAACAACCAATTTCCTGGTGCCGTAGTCGTCGCCGTTGAACCCTTGAATAGATTCAAGATCCGAAGCAACTGACACCAAATCTCGCCGGTCGCACACATAAAAGAGAAACAGTAACCTTTTGCCGTCCCAGGGAGGCAACATGATTTCACAGGAGCTCTGTTGACTACATCCATGGATGAGCTCAAGGATCAGAGGATCAGAACCCGGAAGACAAACTCAAAGAAGAAGTGTCATCACCTGGACTAAAATCTCTAACCTAAACTACTAGCTGGAGTGAAGGTATCGGACTTCCGCTCCCTGCAACCAGCCGCTGAAGGAGCAAACAGAGGGGAGACGAATCCACAAGATCGCCAGTAAAGTCTGGAGAGGAGGGTTTGTCCTAGCCGCCGAGGGGAAGGGGAGAAAGCGCTTGGAGAAAAAAGTCAAGAGGACTATCTTAGGTATCCTTCATATATTCATAGTGTCATGTCAGGAGGTAAGACAACAAATTCTCAGTAAATTTAGGAACCCATCACTCCCTCCCATGGTTTAACTATTCACTTGCATGCAGTGAAAGATAATCACACTCTTAACTATTTTCTCCCTCGGGACTCACTCAAATTTCTCTAATTTGCATGTGCCCTCCAGACACTAATTAACCCGGTAAACGCGAAGACAAGCTGACTTTCAACAGACATTAATTTTTGGCAAATTTTAACATGGTCTCTCTTACGCCCCCCCCCCCCCTTTAGATAAAGTCAATTACACAGGTGGTGCTAGAAGTTGGCGTAAACGGTCACTTTAGTGTTAGAACTTGCGGCATACATTGAACTGGTGCAAAAACTTGGCTCGGACGTGCAAATACAGTGCTAATCGTCTTTCTATACACCGGTGACACTGATGGGTCATGCCAGCATGGTATCAGGCCCACTGTCAGTGACCCCATGGTGGAGTTGTGGCATGCGGCATGCTCCTTTTGCGATAAACCCCTTTGATTTTTATTTTTCAAATTTTTACGGAAAGGCCCCTATAGGTGTAAACCAATTGTATGTGTGGCTTCGGGTGGGTTTCATCTGTGAGCCAACATCATAAAATTTATCAGAATTTTAAAAACAGGTCGCCCAACATTCTAACTGGAGACATCAGGATAACCCACGTGCGTAGCTAGCCAACAAACTCACATAACAATTCATGTCCTATTAGGATAGTGACCATTTATATCTTTTAGCTAAATGATATGAACTCCAGATTTTATTCAAAAAAAAAAGACAGGGCAGAGGGGTTTCAACCTAGCGACCTGATAGATACCATACCAGCAGGAAGAACTACCAATACAACCACTGGCTCGGCTTAGCTAGAATGAATTTTTAGCATCTATGTCTACGACAGATCGCCCGCTGGACAAAACCAGACTACAGTTCGAGCGACGGATTTTAAACGTATTTTTTTTTTCATTTTTCCAAATTTGTAAAGAATATGTAAATTATAATTTCAATTATAGTTGTAAATATGTTTTTATTTGAGAATCCATAGTCTGCTAGCACACTAGGCTCATATTTTTTCCATACATATAGTTATATTTGTTTTAAATACATTTATTTATAAAACACATAAACTTTATTAAAATGCATGAACAGTTTTAAAACACCATAAAAAGTTAAAGCATGAACACTTTTATATAAAATAATTATTAAAACCTTTTTATTTTCAAACTTATATGATCGATTTTTCTAAATATATCTTCTAAAATTAATTTAAATGCACACACTTATTAAAATTATACAAATAATTCTTAATTTAATTTGATGGATTTTCTAAATTAATACGTGAATAATTTTAGTATATTTTATTGTATATTATTTATATTGTAATTTATATTTAAGAAAATCAAAAATGAAAGAAACTAACATAAATTGTAGCCCACGGGCAGGTTCTGCTATAGACAAAAAAAACTACAACAATTCTACATAGGCATGAGATTCCATAACTTGGAGTGGCACACCTTCCTTCTTTTACACGGGTCGCTGGTTACAAACCCGTAACTGGATTGAAATTCTTAATTTATGTTATTTAGTGTGAAGATATAAACCTCACATATGCTTGTGTGTAATCAACTGAAATCTAGGCTGGGTGCTAGCCATGCGTGCGTTGTTGACCGAGGGCCTTTTAGGACAAAAAACAAAATAAAATAAAAATACAGTTGTTTCTTGAAAAAAAGGGAAAAAAATACAGGCATTTCTTGAAAGAAAAAAAGGCCACAGGCCCATCTTCACCATACAGTCACTGACATCATATGTTGTCATGCCCCGTCAGCATCATCGGTGTATACAAACGCGATTAGCACCGTATTTACATGTTCAAGCCAAGTTTTTGCACCACTTCAATGTATGCCGCAAGTTCTAGCACTAAAATGACCGTTTACGCCAAGTTCTAGCACCACCGGTGTAATTGACTCTTTTAGATATGAGGTAAGATGGTAAGAGTTAATCAGGCCACTAATTAATGAGATCAATGGTTCAGATCTATTTTATATAGAAAAAATGAGACCAACCCAAGGGCTAATCCTCGTTGGCATTTTTTCATAGGAGAAACTCCACGAGCATCGCGTCTCCAAGCCGGGACTCGAACTCGGGTGGGCTGGCAGCAACCCCAGCTGCCTAGCCAACGGGTCGATGCCCCGTCCTCACTCAGATCTATTTTATACTCTTAGCTCTCATGTGAAAGGAGGAGGTAAGAGGGATCATGTTAAAATTGCTCTTAATTTTTCTCTTGATACCTGTAATTTACATTTATGGCCTTGTACAAGTAAATGAATGGAGTATCATTTATAGTCAGATTGGGGTGCTTTATTCTATATGCCGTTATATCTAGACCCCACCAAATGAGAGTGGCTAACATTTCGTTCCATCTGAAAACTTTTCGAGACCAATCTTAACAGACTCAGACTGATAGATTCAAATGAAAAAGAATACAGAGAAACTAATAAATATATAGAGATATACTGTACGTCCTATATACGAGATAGTTTGTGCGTAGTGTTTTATACTTACCTCATGTCCTCGAGAACCTCCTTGAGCTTGTCGGTAAGCTTGTCTACACGCATGCTGTCGATGTCATCGTCCGGTGGATCTTGTTCATCGTCGTCGTCGTCGATGCCTATCTTTCGTGGCTTGACGATTTGAAGAAGTATGGGCTTCAGTAATCCCTCCAAATCTTTCATGTCGCGGAACGCCTGGGACACAGACACTTGAGCTTGGCCTTGGAAGTCGGCCTCCAACTGCCGGCACACCTCCATCGCCAGCGTAGTCTTCCCGAGCCCGCCGAATCCCACGACGGAGAAAACCTTGAGCGTCATGTCATTGTCAGTCACCGCCTTCACCTTGGCGGCCAGTCTGGTAGCCTTCTCCGTGATGCCGACTAGATGGTCAGGGCCGTTTGGCACCTGCCTGAGCGCATGGCCGAGCACAGGCGTGGAAGCGGAAGGAGAAGTAGAGCGGCTCAGCACCTCACGGCTGAGCCCGTAACGTTCCTGGCGCTCGCTGATCACGACAGCACGGGCGCGGAGTGCCTTGATCTCCAAAGCAAGCTGGCGGCGAGAAGAAAGCGTACCCAGCATGTGTTTCGACCATACGAGGAAGCGGTCTCTGGACCGGCACCGGATGCGGAAGATGTAGAGGTGCACGCAGTCCTCGGCGTCATAGGCGAGCTCGCGCACCTGCTTCATCCACACCCGGATGAAGTGGTCCACGGCGCCCTCTTCTGCTTCGGACAGCATGCGGAGGATGGCTTTCATGGTTTCCAGCTCGTCGCTGAGCTCAGCCACCTGGGCACTCACGCCGCGGAGCTGCCGGTACTCCCTACCCACCAGCTGCCCGACGATGGACACAAGCTGGGCGGTCGTTCCTTCCATTCTCCCGCTCTCTTGATTATCGACTCTGTGGGGAGGGTGGATGGCTGGATAGGAGATGCAGAGTTTTGTGCTGCTCTTCGCGATTTGCAGATGCTTTATCATGACTGAGAAGGTAGAAAAGAAAGAAAAGACGAGTCCTTGGCTGACAGAGCATTAGAGCAACTTCAATGGGGAGACCCATTTCGTTCGCTGGCGTCCGTTTGGATCAGCGCGGACAAAAAAGTCGGCCCAATGCGCCGACTCAAATAGAGACGCGTCCGCTTGGCGGCTTGCGGACCCATTCCCGGCCCATTTTTGAGCCGGATTTGCGTTGGCATGGACCCGAGGCGGACGCGCGCGCCTTCTCCTCCCCGGGCCCGCTGGTCGATGGCAGCCTTCACCATTTCCCTTCAATCCCCCCAAAAATCCTCCCGCCCGCGCCCGCTCCCGGCCCACCCACGCCATGGACGACGACCTCGACGCCGCCGGCCTCGCCTCCCTCGCCTCGTCCCGGCATACCGGCCGCCCCCTTCGGCAAAGGCAAGCCTCGCGCCCCCCGCAAGACCACCACGCCGAAGCCGAAGAAGGTGCTGACGCCCGAACAGCGGGAAAGGAGTCGGCCAAGAGGAAGGACCGGGGGCACGCGGCGGGCGCGAGGGATTAGGGATGAAAATGAAGGGGAAACTTTTCGTTTTTCCGGAGGAAAAATAGAAATGAAAAGAAAATATCAAAATGGAAATGGAATTTTGCAAAACGGAAGTGGAAATGGAATTTTTTATGCGAAAACGGCCGGTGTAACATGCATGGAAACGGAACTATCCATTTCTGTGAATATGAAATTTCTGTTTTTACTATAAACTTATAGCTGCTTTGTAACCCAACCACAAAAAAAAACACAATGACACAATTAGTAGAATGGATCTTAGTTCCAACTTCTACTACAACACATGTAATCAGCTTGACCCTATACGCAATTGTCCATTACTACTACAATACTATGCTAAGCTGTTAACATAATGATATTATCTTATAGCCATGTTATCAACTCATTAAATTTGTTTGCTTTTGTGTGTATTTCTCTATGATTCAAGATGTTTTTAAGTTCCGATCAACGCCTTCCATTCTCCCGCTCTCTTGATTATCGACTCTGTGGGGAGGGTGGATGGCTGGATCGGAGATGCAGAGTTTTGTGCTACTCTTCGCGATTTGCAGATGCTTTATCAAGACTGAGAAGATAGAAAAGAAAGAAAAGACGAGTCCTTGGCTGACAGAGCATTAGAGCAACTCCAATGGGGCGCCCCATTTCGTCCGCTGGCGTCCGTTTGGATCAACGCGGACACAAAAGTCGGTCCAACGCGCCGACCCAAACGGACGCGCGTCCGTTTGGCGTCCGCTTGACGACCCATTCCCGTCCCATTTTTGAGCGGATTTGCATCGGCGCGGACACGAGGTCGACGCGCGCGCGCCTTCTCCTTCCTCGGGCCCGCTAGTCGGTGGCAGCCGCCACCATTTCCCTTCATTCCCCTCAAAACCCTCCCGTCCGTGCGCGCTCCCGTCCCACCCTGCCATGGACGATGACCTCGACGCCTCCGCCGGCCTCGCCTCCTCGCCTCGTCCGGCATGCCGGCCACCCCCTTCGGCAAAGGCAAGCCTCGCGCCCCCCGCAAGACCGCCGCGCCCAAGCCGAAGAAGGTGCTGATGCCCGAACATCGGGCAAAGGAGTCGGCCAAGAGGAAGGACTAGAGGAATGCGGCGGACGCGAGGCCGTCGCCGCCGCCGCGCAGCAGGAGGTCACCAACGCCCGCGTCGCAGCGGCAACGAGGGAGGCGCTCTATATGCTAGGGTTAAACCCTGGCCAACACGGCCTCGTCAACGCCACCGTGCCCGCGGCTAGCACTGGCTCATCCGCCTTCCCTTGGACAGTGCTGCCCGACTCGCCCCGCGCGTCGGCTTGCACCCCAATGTCCGGATTCCACGTCTACCCGCAGGCCTCCCACCTCTCCAGAGAGTGCTCGCCCGAGGTGAGCGTGGTCGTGCCTTCCACGCCCGCGCCTGCGCCCATCGACCTCAATGCCACACTGGTGGCCGGTGGCTCGTCAACCGGAGGAGCGCAAGGAAACGCGCGCGGCAGACGCCAACCGACGTGCTGGCGGGCGCACGCAACTTGTTCGACGGAATGCCGGCCGCCGGCGACGGTGACTACATGCAGAACATGATCTTCGGGGCTGGTGCGCAGGCCGCTGGCTTCGATCCCGATGAGACACAAAGCCAGGATGACCGAGGGGCGTTCACGCCGTCCGCTGGCTACAATGAAGATCAGGCGGCCTTCATGCGTGATCAGGTCGGCCTGGACCTGGACGGCTTTCCTCTCGACCATGAGTTTCTGGAGGACTACGGGCTAGAGGAAGAGGACGAGTGCGACATTGAAGGGGAGCCTTTGTTCGAGGACGAGCTCGCCAACCAAGCCGCCGGGGCGACGCCGAAGCGCAAGAGCAAGCAGACCAAGGCATACAAGGCGGCCCAGGACAAGCTTCTTTGCGAGTGTTGGATAGACATTGGGCAAGACCCCAAGACGGGCGCCGAACAAAAGCATTCACCTTTTTGGATTCGTGTCCACCGTAAGGTCCATGAGCGCAAGAAGTTTCCGCCGTACCAAATAGTAAGCGCGCGCGGGTGGGTGTCCAGTTCGAAGCGATGGAGGGTGATCCAACAAGAGTGCAACAAGTTTTGTGCCAATCTTGAGAGCGTCAAGGCCCGCCCCGTGAGCGGCATCGGCATGCAAGACATGGTATGCTAGCAAGCCGCCCTTTTTCTGTCATCAAGTTTATGATTGCGTGTTTGTTTGCATACCATTTTGCCAATATGCTTGCATGAAATACATTTGTAGGCATTTCAAGCTTTGGAGGCACTCAAGGTCCAACTCAATGGCAAGTGCTTCAACCTCTCCCATTGCTTTAGGGTCATCAAAGACGAGGAAAAATTTAAGGCGCAATATGCCGCCCTCAAGTTGCATGGTGGGAAGCAAGCTGTGGAGGAGGTTGGGGACGGCGAGAAGGCTCGGCCGTGGGGGAAGACCAACTCCAAGAAGGAGGACAAGCGAGATGCGGCATTGATCGCCTTGATCGCAACCGTGGAGGGCATATCACCAAGAAGGACTCAAGGGAGGAGAAGCGCCAGCAAGAAAGCGAAGAACAAATGAATGCCTTCATGGAGATCCAAAGGAGGGGGCTTAAGATGGACGCGGAGAAGCAAACAAGAATGCTTGATATGGAGGCGGAGAAGCAAGCCAAGATGCTAGAGATCGAGGCCACCAACGCCAAGACCAAGGCGAAAGAAGTGGCTCTCGCGAGCATGATGACCGGGGTGGAGATCATGAAGGTGGATCTCAACACCGTGTCGCCAAGGAAGAGGCCGTGGTTTGAGAAGATGCAAGGAGGCGGCTATCCCGGTTTCATCTCTTGGTTCAAACAAACGGTAATTTCTATTAGACAATTTCATTTCATTCACTAATTTGTGCGTAATGCAACAATCCTTTCATATTAAACTTGTAGGCTAATTCAGAGTCTATGGACGCCGAATTGAGACAAGTCGCTAATAGTTTTGACTATAAGGTCCGTTCATTTGACAAATACGACATCAACGGGTATCGCTTTCGTACCTATGGCAGAGAGCTATCTATGGCCGACCGAAATTCTACAAATTGTTGTGTATCTGCTATCGGCGAAGGAGGTATTGAGTATTATAGGAGAGTTGAAGCAATTTATGAACTTCTATTCTATGGTGAAAACCCACCGAATGTCGTAGTCTTCAAAAGTTATTGGTTTCAGCCGAAGGAGACTAGAAGGACTCATAAACATATAGGGCTAGTTGAAATCAACCAAAGCACCCATTTAGATGTTCCTGATGTCTATATTACGGATGCGACCCAAGTATTCTATCTACCGTGGGCCTGCCAATCTAATCCAAATCTGAAAGGTTGGGATGTCGTTTATGAAGTGCCGGCACGTGCTAGACTATCTCCCCCAAAGGAAGAGGATTATGAACCTCACATTAACCCAGACACATATGAAGGAGAATTCTTCCAAGAGACACGTCTTTCCAAAAAGTGTTTCAAGAACCGCTATACTTCACCCCAAAACATTGAAGTAGACAGCGATAGTGAATCCCACATCACCCCAGAGGAGGAACAAGAAGAGCCGGAACAAAAAGAGGTTACTGCTGCGGATGACCTGTCAATGCTTGACCGATTACGTCAAGGTGGCCTTCCACATGTTGATGCCACTGAACCCTATGAGCCCGTCATTGATTATAGTGATGATGATGATTATGCATTTATTGATGATACTGATCGAGATTATTAGTAGTGTCAGGTATTCAATTTTTTTATGTTGTACTTGATGATGATACACTTAAGTGATATACATATTATTATTCATGTCGGTATTTTTTATATTGTACTAATTTCGTTTACTCTTTGTCATGGCAGGTGTTGAAAGATGGAAGGGGAGCCGACTGAGGCCAAGGACAAACGTGCCAAAATTGAAGGTGTGCCACACCATCAAGGTAGCTCCAGCTTATATCAATTCGGGCGGAACTGGGTATGTGGTTTGCTTCATGATTAATGCAATTCAATCATCATGCTAGCTTGAGCCCTTTAATTACTAATTTACTTTGTTTCTCTCTTTCAGGCATGCTACAATAAGACGGATAAGGTGCAGGGGTACGACCTGCATGCCATGGCCCACACTGCCTCTTACAAGCAAGTCAAGGGGAAGGCGAGGAAAGGAGAGGACTTTAACCCGAGCCAGATTCCCATTGATCCAGAGCAGGTGATGATATCTGGTGGCGGGAGGTCCCGTGGCTCCATAGCCATTGATCCAGAGATTGCTTCTGAGACCACGGTGAGTTTAATTTGAATGGACGTTACTTGCTAGTCTTAACATTTGAGTGTCATCATGCTAACGAAACATTGGAAATGATCTTTGGTGCAGCGTAGCTCCAGACAAGCATCACATGATCCT